AGAACAGTGGCTTTGTAATACAGCTTGATATCTGGTATTGAGATCCCACCTACTTTGTTCTTCTTTCTCAGGATCGCTGTGGCTATTCGGGGTCTTTTTTTATTCCAGATGAATTTTTGGAGAGTTCGCTCTAGGTCTGTGAAATATGCCGTTGGTATTTTAATGGGGAGTGGATTGAATTTATAGATTGCTTTGGGTAGTATGGACATTTTAATGATGTTGATTCTACCAATCCATTAACATGGTATGCTCTTCCATCTGTTTATGTCTTCCTCTATCTGTTTTTTCAACGTCCTGTAGTTTTCTGAGGAGAGGTCTTTTACCTCTTTAGTTAAGTTTATTCCTAGGTATCTTAATTTTTTTGGTGTGATGGTAAATGGGATTGCTTTTTTAGTCTCTCTTTTTGTAAGAAGTATCCTATTATTTTAATTAAAGTTACTAAAATTTTCTATGAAGAAAAAAATAACACATAGAGAATGTGTCTGAATCCATATTATAAGAAAACACCTACTGTCCCAAATTTAACATCTTAGAGTATTTCCTCTTAAAATTATTTTTCAATTTATCTTCAGAATATTAAAATGGCACTACTGAGAAGTGTACCAGCTAGTATTTCTTATTTCTCTAATGTTCCTTGTCAATTTCTTTTTTTTCCCCCTCAATTGGCTTTCACAAATAAAAATCATCCATCCTACTAGAAAAAGACCCTGTTACCAACAACAATGGTAGTAAGAGATTACATACTGGAAAACAAAGTTTTCATCAGTTCAACTCTTTTGAGTTTCTTTTAACTTTTCATTTATAACTGTGACTCTGAATTTAATTAAATCCCCCCCTTTTTAGCAATATAATGAATTCGAAGCCACATCTTTAAAAAATGAGTAGTGTGCCATGGTCATTGCCTTGCCACCTCTAGTCCTGCCTCAAATCCATGCCACAAACCCCCTGTGCTAAAAGCATCCAAGTCCTCTAAATAATCAGCAACGGGCTAAATTTGGTCTTAGGATTTGAGAAGAACCTGGACAAGGTCTGACCTCCACAACCTGGCCCAGAATGTTTCTCATCCCTGTATTCATCTGAGACCCCTTTAGTTATAATTAGCTCAGCTGATCCTCCCTGGCAAGCTGCCATCTACCAAACAAGCATCACCAAAATAGCCATAAAGAGAGAATTCCAAAAAATGGGAAAGTTGACAGGCCTCAAATATTTTTTAACAGAGATAGTCAAATGGCTTCCCCTGAAATATAAGGAAGTACCTCAATTTAAGAGCATTAAGAGACATGTTTACTAGTATATAATTTAGATAGATAATGGTCTGTTAAAAACAGTTTTGTTTTAAAAGTTCCTCTAATATTATATAGTATAAGCACATAACATGGCCTTAGCTGGCTAGATGACAAGAGTCCCTGCACCATTTATAAGAATCAAATCATGTGGGGAGATAACCCTATAGCAATCAGAACTTTTTAAAAAGCAAAATCCCAAATGGCATGGAGTGACAAGCCTGGCATAAAGTCACAGCTGCTGATTACCCCTAGTACCTCCAACAGTGATAAGACCCTTCTCACTCAGCCAGTACTTACATATTTTTAGAATAATTGGGGGCCCTGAAACAACCTCTCAAGGGGAGAAAACTACCAAATTAAGAAATAATATCACAGGTAAGCAGAAGGTGACCTGAGGGTAGAATATACCTAATTAGAGTATTATGCCCTAGAATCAGTAAAGAAGAGTCTTCCTATGAAAAGAAATCTTAAACGCTTGAGGAACACAGGCTTGGGAGATGCCCAAAGAAAGTTGAACCTTCGTTTGGTCAAGGCATATATGCTGAGAAATCTCCTATTAAGTAGTTTTATTAGATGAACATTTTTACCTCATAACTTACGGTTAAAACATTTGAGAATGGAGATGCCCAGCTTTCCTATAAAAGCACATTTCCTATAAAAGCACATTGATTTGGGGGGAAGAGATTCAAGCCAAGTACAGCAGCCCCAATTTCCAGGAAATTCAAAAACATGTGTACACAACACATTGTCTGAATTTCAAGTTCCCTCCATAAGGAATACACAAGAAATCCCAATACAGTACACTATACTTTGTAATCACTCAAAAATTTTTTGGTGACTGGACTAAAACAAAAACTGTCACTAAGTATGTATTTACATTTCTGTTAAGTTTCTCTCCTATACCCCACAATTTATTTGTTTGTTGTTAAACATATCAACTCCCACGTGCTGGGGGCCTGAACACCAAACCTGGAAGAGGAAAATAAAGACTTGTCATATCTGCCTTGTTTCTATTTATTTCTGTTAAGGATATGTGATTATCCTTACGGTGCCAATACTATCTGAAAGGCCACTGTCACTTTAAGAAAGAAAAGTAAAAATTACTGGACATCTAGTATGTGACTAGTAAATTCACATAATTCATCTCATTTCAGCTTCTCAATAATCCTGTGGAATAGGCAGTAATACCCAATGTTTATATAAGTACAAACTGGGGTTCAGAAAAGTTGTGTCTAAGGTCACCTCTTAGCAACAGAGTTCAAACCTAAGTCCATACCCTTTTATCCTTCTCAACATTTATGTAATTTTGAGAGAAGTTATTAAAAACAAATACACACACACACACACACACCTACAACCAAAAATGTAGGCTAACCTACGGAAAAGTACATGGAAAGGGCTGAGTTTCTCATTTATCATCCATCACAAATTCTTTTAGAGCATCAACCACTTCAGGATACTGTATTTCCCCCAGGGATATGATACTATCTTTGCCCAAAGGGAACAGATAGTCTAGTTTGGAGAAACAAGCCAGTAGATAAGTTTTTTAATGAAAGAGGCAAAAGATATTGGAAAGGACAAGAGTTTTAGATTCATCTACCCACATATGAATTTCAGTGCTTACTACCTGTGAATTGACAAGATACCTCCTCAACTGTAAAGGTCATGATAAAAACCTGCTACTTCAAAGGACTTGCAAAGCTTAAATGAGACAACATATGCAAACAGTTAGGGGCCTAATAGTCGTTCAATCTTTCCCCTATGAGTGGCGTGCCCTAAGTATCAATGAGTGGAAATATCAATAAGTGCTAAACAAAGATAAAAAAATTTGATATATTACAAAAAATTTCGAAAACAAAAATCCCACTCCTTACACTTGAAAACTGATCTGTGAAGTCAGCCAAGTCATTAGCTAATTAGGTTTATCATTTATAAGAGCATCAGAGTTAATTAAACATAAAGGGTTTACACTTGAAGTACAAAATTTAAACAATGATAAACAGGAGCACAATCATGTTAATTTGGGGGGAATGTCACCTCTGTGCAAAACTGCCTTTAAAAGGAAAACTACTACTTAAAACAAGTGTATCACAACTAAACGCAATGGAACAGTATAATTTAATTAGTAGTAAGGTACCCATGATAATTTCTTAGTGTTGACAAATGTACCACTTTCCTATAAATTTAAAAATATTCCAACATAAAAAGTAGATGACAAGGGAAAAGGAATGACAACATTCACAGAAACTCTTAAGTACTGGATTGCCACTTGATTTAGTACTTCCTGAAGACAGCCACTAACAGTAAAGGCTGTGAAATCAGTCAAGGCGCACCACCTTTGCAAGCTTTTGTAAAGCACAACTACAAGGAACAGCTGGAGTTTAACTAATATTCCTAGTTTTTAAAGAGAACCGACTTGTGCACTTTTGCCTAGCAAATTCTTGCAAAATACCAGTTCTCTGGTAATTAAATTTTGTTATTGCTGTTACAAAACAAGCAAATTTCTAACAGTTACTTCTGCCTTGCTATTTTTTGACTCGGACATTTATTCAATAAACATATACGAAGCATCTCTCACCACATATAAAGGTATAACAAGACTTTGAAAGTCTAATGATAAGTGGCATTTCTGAGCTTAGTTCTAAAGGCAGGCATGTTTCCCTTGTTCCCATCAGGCAGGCCATCAAATTCTCTTACTTTTTTATACAAAACTCAAAGAAGAGTTAATAAAGTGTTGTAAAAGTTACTAGGGCATTTTTATTCCCTTGGTCAAATGGGGGCCATTACTGACAATTTCTTTTAAGTACATCTGCATTTATTAAGAGTCACATTAAGTGATTGTGAACTTCACTAGCTGTGTGCTCAACAAGATGGCTGAAGCTTTCATACTTTGGGGTCTGCAAAAAAAAAAAAAAAAAAAGGGTTTACTTGCATACCAGAAGGCGAATTCCATGCCATAAACTGGTGACAGAGGTTTAAGACAGCACCAATTCCCAAGTGTACAAAGTACACACACATACACGCAAGTGTTACCGCTTGAATCAGTTGAGTAATTCTCTAACCCCTTTTTAATACACATGTAGAATTCAGAGGGCAATTTTCATATTTCAAAGAATCCTTAATAATCTCTGCAGATTTTTAAAGACGGTTAAAAAAAAATAAACACAGCAATGCAGCAAAGTCATTTCTCCTGCTGAAATGACCTCCAGCTTCTATGAGCTACTCCAGGTTTCGCAATAAAGAGAATCTGAGGCTCCATCCAAGTCCACAAACGGAGTCCGAGCTGAGTCCGACCTCCCCCACCAGTCCTGGCAAGAAGACCCACCTGCCTCCCCTCAGCCCGCCCCGTTCCCCATTTTTGTCCGCGCGCAAACACACAGTCACCTTAACTTCGACCAAGAAAAGAAAACACATTAGCCAGCAGCCAGAATCCTATTTTATCATCATTCCCAGCCACTATCTCGAGGAAACAGAGTGCTACTAACCCGATTTCAGGTAGTCAGAACCAAACCCAGCCGAGCAGAGGGGTATATAAATTATAGACGTCTCTGAAACGCCAGCCCAGCAGCTCAAGCGTCAAATTAACGAGAAGGTTTTCGCAAACAGTCTCTCCAATGAGCATTCCCACTCCCAAACTGCCCACCAACCCCCCACTAGTGCCGGGACCCGCAGTCCGCTCAAGCAGCCCGGGAGACAGGAAGCAGCGGGTCTTACCTGGTACAAATCTCGACATTGTAGGGGTTTATTGAAATACTCTGGCTTATATACTAGTCTATCTGTTGGTTTCTAGAGGAGTCACTCTTCTCAGGTAGAGATTTCCTCCCCTGCTCTACTAACCGACGTGTTCTTTCTCCTCTTCCTATGTTTAGCCACTTAAGGGAATATTTGTTCAAAGCGATTAAAACTGCCTCAAAAAAAAAAAAAAAAAAAAAAGGAAAGGAAAACCTCCTCCACTTCCAAAGGCAGAAACTTGGTGCGACTGAGTCGGCTGGTAACTCCTGACACAAATGAGGGCCGCCTGGAGACTCCCAGAAAAGGTAAAATCACACGAACTTAAATTTCATCAATGAAAGAGGCGGATCTACCGCGGCTCTTTCACCGCCCCCGGGTCCCCACGCCCTCCGGGGCCGGGCGACAACGGGCGCTGGCGGGCCGCACCCCCGCTCTCCCTCCCCTCCGCGCCGTCCAGCCTCCAGCCAGGTCTCCGCCAAACCGGTCCACAGCGGCCCCCGGCCTAGCGGGGCTCGGAGGGGCGGCAGAGGCGAGGGAGGCCGACGGCGGTAGAAATGACCATTTTCACCAGTCCCCCCCAAATATCCCGGGACGAGGAGGCCTCCAGCTCCCCGCCTTCCCGTGGCGAGCGGCGAAAACCCTGCCGCTGCATTTTCCCGGGAGGAGGGCCCAAGGCTGCATCGCCCCTCCCCCGCGCCCGCGAAGGGGCCGCCCGCCCGTGAGGGGAGAGCCCGCGTGCCGCCCCGAGTCCGACGCACAGGAGCCGGGAAGGCCCCGATCCTCCTCGCACACACCCAGTCCCTCCAGCCCCAGCGCCCTTGCAAACCCCAAAGTCGGCCTTGGGGGCCACCCAGCTGGTAAAGGAGAGAGGCTCTCCCCATCTCAGAGAGGGAAACACACCCACCTAGGGGGGTGGTGGGAAGTCCGTCCCGCCCCTCCCACCCCGCCGCCGAGACCCACCTTCCTCCTCTTCCTTCAGCAGCTGGGAAGTTGGGGGCGTTGATGGCGCCCCGGGAAGAAGGCTCGCAGGCTGAGAGGATGTCACCTCAGAGGCACCCTTTCACCTTCTCTCTCTCCCCTCGCACACGCACACGCACACCTAGAATCCCTCGCCAGCGGTGGCAGCCCAACTGCTGGTCCCCTCCGCCCACCCAGCCGGCGGCGCCGGAAACCTTAAAGCCCCCACTTTCGCCTAAATAATTCCCCTCCCCCCTCCATTTGGAGCAGCCCCCTCAATGCGGAAACGTTCCTGCCGCACAGACGGACAGGAGCAGCCTCCAGTCAGGAACGGAGGCGGTGCAGGGTCTGGCCAATGAGATAAGCGATGGTGGCAGGGGGCGGGGCGTCTGCGGCTCGAGGAAGCCCAGCCAGCCAGGGTGGGCGCGGAGCCAGAGGAGGGAATTCCGCGCGTGGGATCCGCACTTGAGGCGGCGCAGCAGGGATGTCTCACCAGTAAAATACCCAGCTTTCTACTGCTACTTCAGCAAGGGAGTGGGTTAACCATTTTGCAGTCCGTAAATAAGTCCCCGCTTACCTGAGGTTGACGAGAGATACCTATCCGGCGAAGAGAGGCAGAGCACTCCACAGCAACTACCCCTAGCGAGCCAGGCCCTTCTCACAAACTCTACTCACAATATGTGGTCTGGGAAGGGCGAAGATGCCCTGAGGAGTAAACAGTGGGCTGTATGGGTCCCCCTACCAGGAGGAGGGATTTAGAGCGTGGAAGAAAGTGCCGAATGAAGGCTCTCCCACTAGAACCACCACGTCCGGTTCCTATTCCTGTAGAGATGTCTGCTGTGCTAGGCGTTTACTTTTCTGATCAACGTGGAAATGGCTTAAGTAACCCTTCAAGAGATGCTTACCTTTTAATATATTTGCCAAGTCCTTAAAGAGCGAGGATGTTAAAAGACAGAACGTTGGCAGTGGTCGGGGTCTGCCCCAGGGCCGCCCCGCACTCGCGAACCCGCCTTTCTTGTAAGACTCCGTGCACCGGTCAGTGGGTGCATCTTAGATTTTACGCTTCATGACTCAACCAACCTACATCAGGGCAGGTGAATTGTCAGCCCTCTCTTAGGTGCCTTCAGTAAACCAGGTGGTTCTTGGAAGAGTCTGGACAACACACTAATCAACAAAGGTAAAGTGAGAATTTCTAAATGACACATTCTCTAAACAAACTAATTTCTTTGAGTGCCACATATTTATATAGAAATATTAGACAACACAGAAAAGGCCAGTGATTCATTTGTCATACTAGAGAATGAAAACTCTTGTCACTGTATTTCTTCTGTGAAATCCAAAAAGATTACACCCAAAGACCTATCAGCTATAAAATAATTTCCCCAAATAAAACCAAAGAAGTACCTAAAATCCAGATGCCTGCATTTTAAGAATGGCATTTGGGGACTGAAGATCTTAACCAGAATCTCCACATCTTTTGTGTACAGTAGAGAAATTGTTCCAGCTCCAAGTAAGCAGGATTTAACAATCTGCATTAACACCAAAATAAAACACCACTAAAAAATTTGGGCCCCACAGGGTTGCTTAGCTTGCACTCGATAAAGGACAATGAAGAATCTTTAATTATACAAGGTTTATTGTAAAAAGGAAGATCAATTATTTTTTATCTTTGCAGAAGATTAAGGGAGAGGAAGTGAGTTTTAATTGGGAAAGAGCATTTGGTAATACTGAAGAATGACATCTTGATTTATGAGTAATTATATATTGAGATATGATACCAAAGGATGTTGTACATGTGCTGCCTCAAGAAATTTCCAAAAAAATAAGTACCTGTCTTGAATGGTTAAGTCTATAACCACCCAGATGCTGCCTGTTAAGAGACTACTACAAGCTATATTCCTAAATATTATTTTTAAATAGTGCTCTGTAAATGGAATTTCCTCATACAGTGGCTTACTTTTAGTCTTGAACCCCAAAAGATTTTGTAAAAGAGGCTCCCACTCCCTCAGAACCATTAGAAACAACCTCACTTGGCAGATCATGTGGGGTTAAGGAAGAGAGACCATGGCCATGGAGCAATTTCAAGTCGGTTTAGAAGGCAGTTGCCTAATTCTCTATATATCTATACATTTAATACTTGAAAAATTGTGCTGTGTGTGTGTGTGTGTATGTTCAACCCCCCCTTTTTTTTTCATAATACACTACTATGGAGTTACCTGTCAAGGTGTATGATGCTGCTATCTATATCATTAGAAATCTGTAAAATGCATAGATTTACAGATAAACCTTGGGAGAAACTTGGGGGTATCTAAAGGAGGACGAAGATGGGGGGCTGGGAAGGAGTGTGTGTTCAGGGATGAATTGTAATGGATTGTAAACTAAAAAGAAGCCTGACAGCCAGTATTTCACTGGTACCATATGCTACCATCTAAGGATGATATAAATTCTGCCTATACCTTTCTCTTTCCTTCTTTCTAATTCCCCTTGGAAACTTGAGGAAATTTGTTTCATTTAACTAGTCCTGGCATGTATAACAACCTTGCCATATCATTTTCTATTTTTTTTACATAAGAACATTCTATCGACAACAAGGAGACAATGACTATTGCCCTATTTCTAACCATCATTTTTTGTGCCCTTTAGATTTAGTGATTGGCACAGTGTCTGGTACATAGCAAACATTTAGTAAGTATATACTGAATGACAAATTTATTGCCATTAAATCTTTTTAACTCCAGTATTGTATTCTTTACTCTTTGAGAGCTGTAAACAAGATTTTTAAAATTTATATTTAGAGGTATTTGTTTCAGTTATTTCCATCTGGAATATCAACTTGGGCCAACATATAAAAATAGTAGCAGCAAATGCAACATTCTGATGACTTGACAGTAAGCTTTGCTAACTACCCATCATAGTCATTATCCAATAAGGGGTGGTTTAGAAATTGCTAAAGCATAAAATAAGTGTACAGATCAGTAATGTGTATGGGTTTGGGTTTTTTGTCTATCCTACCCCAATTCCCTACACACAAGAAAATAAAGCAATGCAGTTTTGTATAACATGTTAGACACATAAATTTTCAGTCATGCCTAAAGAGTTTCACCAAGAGGCCAGGTAACAATTATACACCAGACTGTTGCCCACACTCAATACACAGCATTGACTCCCACCTGTATCCATCATAAATCCTAGGTCACTCACATGAAAGAGGAAAGAGGGGGCTACTATTGTCAGAAATTGTCAGTTACTGATTAGATCTAACAATAGGGCACTTCATGTGAGTCAAAAGATAACCAAACAGGGTTAACTGGAAAGAGCTATCAAATAATACCTGTGAGATGGATTACTAATGAATGAGTAGTCTAAAAATGAACGACGTTTCCAAATACTTGAGGAAGAGAAAGACTTCATTCTTTCCTGTTGCCAGCATCGTGTTGTTAATGAATCAGGAAGTTTGCTGAAATAAGTTATGAATTTAAATTATGACATATCCTTCGATTTGTTCATAGTATGAAATTAAATTACATCGGAAGGTTATATAACTTGTATATCACAACAGTAGCAATTATTTCAAATAACTAAGCTGCTTTAAAAACAGGGTTGTCTCACATTACAGATAATTATCTAAAGAGTTGAAAAACCAATCTTCTAAGTAGTTTTTAAAAATCATCAGGCTCTCAAGAATGCAGTTTAACCACAACATGCATTATCTTGTTCACATCAAGAATTCTACTCTACATTCTCCTCTGAAAGTTGCTTAGAAGACAGGCCCTTACTATGTTGTCTCCTGCTTCTCATGTTCATGTTCTGTATGATGCCCAGAGGAGAGTGTTGATGAGGATTGGTGATGCCCATGGAATTGTATCTCACTCATGTGCCAAACTGCATCTCCAGACCCCCCTTGATTGTAGAGACAGGAGAGTTATTACCTCTGGTGAGTAGGCACAGGAATAACCATTTAAAAAATCCTGTATTCGCTCAGGGTTTTTAACAAACATAGATCATTATGTAATTATAATTTGGAAATACAAAAAAAAAAGCACACTTAGAAATAACACATCTCTTACTAAACTACTAAGAGAATAGACATTATTCTTTTCTGTAGTGATGTATGTATAGATAATGAGGTTATTTATTCTTAGTGACTTTGAAATCCTCATAGAAAAGAGCTGTGAAATAGGAAAGCATTCAGTTTAACTCTATTTTTTCCTCTTTCAACCTGTATGCCCTATTGTGCATTCCATCAAATGTCTTTTGATGGTTTTCCAAACATCTCTGCCTCTGGTCAGCTTACTAAATTTCCTGCCAGTGCCACCACTGGGAAGGGAAGGATAAAGAACTTCTTTCCTAACTTAGCCTCAGGAAATTTATTTTAAACATTTCTCTTTTTTTTTTTTTTTTTTTTTCGCCATGAAAATGGGTTTACTCCGGACAAGCAAGCTATAGCAAAAGCCATGGGGAATCCAACAGACACAGGAGAGGAATCATATTTTATGGAGAAAAAGGAGGAGGTTGGGAGGGATTTTTTTGCACACAAGTCCCTGGGGGAAAAGCGAGAGCTTGCGGCTCGTCACTGGCTGAGTTGTTGGGTGGACGTGCTGGGGGCCAGCCCCAGCGGGTCCAGGGGTTCCCCAAAGGTGTGGATGGAGTCGGCGAAGAAGGAATGACACGGAGACAGCATTC